ATCTATTTTATTCCTTGTTGTGATTCACAGCAGCCGTATAGATTTTTCGCTTATTTGGTCGACAACCAAGAAGTATTTGAATCTCAAACAACTACCACATTTTTTTCAGTATTTGCAATTGGTACTGGTTTTAAAGGGAAAATAGCTTTTGTATGTAGCATCAATTTCCGAACGATTGTATGAACGACTGCTTTTTTTGTTTTGCCTAAGTTATACACAAAGTATAATGTACACTACACCGTTATAGTGAGGACTGAAAATGCAAAAACTTTTTATAATGACTGTTTTGAATTCAACAGGTTATACTCTTGATATTTTACATAAAAAAACCAAAAAGTTACTTTTAACAAACAAATTGACTTCTACATCGACATGTGAACATGAAAAACATTGAATATATGATTTATGTAATCCATCACACTTTATCGTAACCACCATTGCACTTCAGCGTAGCTATCAACTTCGGCGTGATCAAAAACGCAATTCAGCGTTAAACCATAGCACATCAGCGTGAACATCGCGGTTCGGAGTACCATCGTGGTTCAGAGTCCTACATATATATAAATGAAATGATAATAGAATGATTGAATGATTTAAAAACTGACAGTAGCTAGACTATGACTACAAACTTTTAGTGGAACCAAGTTTTTTAAGTATGACAAATTTTTCAGGTTCCTTATTAACAAAACTACAACAATTAATGTTAGTTACATTGACCAAGATGATGACATAGTCCGATGTGAGTTTTCTAGTTATGGAACAGGTAATGGGATAAAGACACCAAGTGGATTGTTAATGAATAAGGTAACTAATTATACTGCATGCGTTGGAGCTCTACTGTAAAATCAATAGAAACTTCATACTGCACAAAATATATTTTTTGTCTCACCAGCAGCTAGACGTTAGTATTACTTTTCCAGCTACTGCAACAGTATCATCAACTTGCAAATTACCTCAATATTTTATTACCACTTTCACCTAGGTACAAAACAACATCCTTTTTGTGTGTAAATCACATTTCATCAACTGCTGCTAAAGGAATTATGTATTGACAAGTTACTTGGAAATTCAACATATACCCTTACGACACGTACCAAGGAGGAAATACTGAATAATCACAGGTCTTTTCTAAGTTCCTTTTGAATTTCAACCAAGGATGAAGAAAGAACTGAATTTTTTTCACTTTATTGGATACCCAAATTACATGAGTGTCCAATGTTATATTGCTGGGTCTTCGCAGTGCTCCATGAAACCTCCTTCTATTTTTTAATATTAATTTTATCAGCAATAAAAACTGGTATTCTGATTTATTTTGAAATTACTCTAGTGGCGGTGTGAATCAGATGTGGATACTTATTCCAAAGAATACATACAGTTTAAGTCTCTTTCCTCGTGCAATGGTATAACACATTTGACTTAAGTATTCCCCATTCGAAACTTAAAGACAAATTTGAAAATGAAAGAATTTCATAAAAAGAATGGCCAAGATACACTATAGATACAAATGTCTTATTTGAGGGAGGGACAAATCATACTTTGTAAAAACAAGTCTGTTTGATTCATACAAAAAATCATCTTAAACTGAAACTATTAAGATGTTTGATTTCTTGATTGACAAAATACATGTGACGTTTGGAGGAGGACTACACACAATCTGAATTCCCATGGGAACCAACGGTGCTCCTCTTCCTAATGATATGTTCCTGTATTCATATGAAGCAGACTTCATACAGGAGCTTCTTATGAAAATGAAAAGAAGCTATCATTACCCTTATCTTCATGTTCAGCTATATAGATAATGTCTTCTCAAGAAATAATTCAGAGTTTGGTGAACGCATATATCCCATCGAACTTGAAATAAAGGATATACCAGATACAGTTAAGTCTGCCCCAAATATTAACTTACATGAACTTTCCATTTCTTTGTAGCAACATTCCAACGGGGTATGCATATGGAGTATTTACCTCCCAGCTTATATGATATTCCAAAGGTTGCAATTCCTATCATGATTTCTTTGATAGAGAGTTGCTGCTTACAATGAAGATTTTAAACCAAGGGTTTCAAGTGGTAAAGTTGAAGTAATCCCTTTGATTATTTTACGGTCGCAATTATGAGGACAATGGATATGTTCCAATTGATGAAACCGCAATCCCGTTCTTTTTTCATCGAATGGGACTTATTACCGAGTTTGTACTTACAAGAGCAATACGACAAAAACCAATGCCGGCTTATAGTATGATCATTTTAGGCAGGTGGGTGTTGAAAAGCGTGTACCTTATTTGTGTAACCAACTTCTCTCAAAGTTGTCAATCCAGATCCCTGAAAATTCACATATGTTGAATTTGTGAACCTGTAATTATGGAATTGTTTGAAGAATATTTTTCTATTTTTCCAGACTTGGATGAACTTAGACATTTCAGCAAAATCTATGAAAGATGGTACAAATTTTGTGTAATCAAATACTCCTACAGTTTTCTACCCAGATTCATGAAACTTCACAGGAAAATTGCACATATGTTGAAATTGTGCTCTGCTATTATGGAATTGTTCGAGGAATTGTTACATTTAATATTTTAAATTTTTCAATGTTCAGTAGAACATTCTCTATTGTTTAAGAAACATTATGTGCAACCCGGCCATTTGAGTCTTTGCTCTTTTTTTTTGTGTTTCGCCATTGCGTTGTCAGTTTGTCATCGATATATGAGTTTGAATTTCCTTTTATCTCTCTTTTAATTGTGGAAAATATGTATATCTCAGGAAATTGCATCATGCTAAGGACTATGTAAAATATGCTGAAATAGCTTTTTGTTTTGTTTGTACATGTCTTTGTTCATTTTTTAAAATATATAAATGCAGCAAAGATTCACATTAAAAAATCAATCTTACAAAGTATCTTAAAAGATAGAAAAGCAAGACATGCATTTGCGATCTCATGTGTATAATACTTCCCAGAGTTTTAAGAAATTTATATCAAAGGTTTATATCAGTAATAGTTCTGACAAGTTAAAAAATCAGTGCCATACAAGTTTTTTTAAAGGAGTTATGCCCCTTTCGAAATATATATTTTATCAAAAATTGCATTGTAAGGACTCTCATAAAATGTTATTAATGTTGAGCCTTGCATTGTAAACACACTCACACCTTCATTTCTTGTCGAATTCTTATTTTATGAAGTTTATATCAAAGGCAAGGTCTATGAAGAGTGCCGACCAATGTTTTTTTTACAGGAGATATGCCTCTTGATAATAGAACTATATGGACACTAACATTGTTAGCAATTTCATACATACACTTCTTGTAAGATATTTATTAAAAACTATTTTTTTTTACTTATTGCCATTGGGCAGATAAAATATGTGCAACGCAGGGGATAATGAAAAGCTGTTATTTTATGACTATATAATTATTATGAAATCTATTTACCTTTGGTGGTTCCAATGCCTGACAAGTGACAACATATGAAGAGTCTCATGCGTTTGGGTAGCACACAACTATGATTAAATTGAGCCTTTTATGTCTTTTATTAGGCTGACTGTATAATTGAATTTGATGTATCAGGAAGGAAATATAGAGTCGGAGACACAGGATTAATCTTGGTCGATGTTATGGATTTTAACAGACATGACGTGGTACTTGTATCTGGAGATCACAAAGAAATATTTGTTGCTGGGAATAGTGCCACAGGTAGATCTCTTAGTGCAGTTCCATTTCAGGCAAGTTGTATTATTCACATATCTGATAATATTATTAACTGAATATCGCTTGATTTAAATCAGCTTAATTCAACCCCATGGCCTCTCCATTGATTTGCTAGTGTCAAAGTAAAAATATTTTTAAAAGGCAATTAACTTTTTTTTTAAGATAAAACAAAACATAATTTAAATATATAAATATTTGTGACCTACATTTAACAGGTCTATGATAGGTCAACATAAAACCAATTTATCCGAATTATGGATCACTTTTCGGTTGTAGCAGTGGAGCATGATTATCATTAAAAAACAACCAACAGTTCCAGCCAGGTTTAAAATTGGAACAGGTAGCCACAGCTCTACCAGATGAGCTAAAGGAGATCAAGTATCTCACTAGCACAGCTGCATATGGGTGCAGTGATTACCGGTACAAAAGTTAACTTTACGCAGACATTTTGACTGCTTTCTAAGCCAACGAAATAAATTTGAGCAGACAAGCAAGTTAACTATATTCATGGTAGACCAGAACTAGGTCTGCTTTTTAGTTTCCATTCCTGGCTACACCAGACCTGTCGAAAAGTACCTGTTCAGCGACAGTTTAGTTCATGACCTGTCTATATACAGGTCTGCTTTTGACAGATCAATGTGTTTACACTTTTCATACCAGACCTGGCATCTGTACTACTAGCGTAACGAGATCCACTTTGTTAACCAGCATGACGTAAAACCGCCGAATCAAAAACATCAACTTTATATATAATTAATATAGGACAATGGTGTTGTTAAAAATAACACCATCCCAAGCCCTTTTGTTTTCCACATAATTAATATTACCAATAATTAATAAGTTCCGGGTCGAATCCGATACCAATACCAATGGAATTCTTCCAGTAGTTGTTTTATATCTATGTTACACTATAGTACACTATGTTACAAGTATATTTCCTTCCAGCTCAATACCACTATTAATTTTGGTTATTAGTTAAAACATTAAATTCTGTTTATAGTAAATAGATATAAGAAGATGTGGTATGAGTGCCAATGAGACAACTCTCCATCCAAGTCAAAATTTATAAAAGGAAACCATTATAGGTCAAAGTACGGTCTTCAACACGGAACCTTGGCTCACACCGAACAGCAAGCTATAAAGGGCCCCAAAAATTACTAGTGTAAAACCATTCAAACGGGAAAACCAATGGTCTAATCTATATAAAAAACGAGAAACGAGAAACACTTATGAACCACATCAACAAACGACAACTACTGAACATCAGATTCCTGACTTAGGACAGGTGCAAACAATTGCAGCGGGTTTAAACGTTTTAATGGTACCAAACCTTCACCCTTATCTGAAACAATAGTGTAACATCACAACATAGAAAGATACACTATAAAATATCAATTGAAATGGCTTAAACCAATCAAAAGACATATTAACACCAGTGAACATACACTGAACAAATAAATTTGATCTATGATACAATGTAAATACATAGTAAGTTTATTACAGTAAGAAAACTAGCACGGGTTCAAACAGAACGATTTTGAAAGCAGAAAAAACTGTGCGCCTTACAATCAGCATGACTTTACCAGATGAAAATACAAATACTAAAAATCCAGGCTAAAAATAAAGCATAGGTACTTTAATTCAGTCACGGACCCGCGACATGAGTGTATTCTAGTTTTATTGTATAAACAGTAATCGTATTTTTGTATTTTCCAGAACAGCAAAATAATATGCTCTAAATACATATATTGGAATTTCTTTGTCATTCATGAACATGTTTGTAATCAAATATTGGTTATCAAGTTTTGCATTTGTCCACATATTTATTTGTATATATGCAGATATTATAAAAAGTAAAATAACAAAAAACCGAACTCCAAGGAAATTCAAACGGAAAGTCCTTTATCAAATTGCAAAATCAAAAGCTCAAACACATCAAACGAATGGAAAACAACTGTCAAATTCCTGATTTGGTACAGGCATTTCCTTATGTAGAAAATGGTGGATTAAACCTGGTTTTATAGCTAGCTAGACCTCTTACTTGTATGAAAGTCGCATAGAATTCCATTATATTGATAACAATGTGTGAGCAAAAAAAACCCAGACATAATAGGTAAAAATGTCAAAAATTGGGGTACAGCAGTCAACATTGTGTTATAAAAGAAGAGAGACCCTGTTTCGAAGATTGATAAGAAAGGTTATCAAATGGATTGGAATAAATATATATTTATAGTTGATAGAAACACCAATTTTGACAGACACGTGAAAGAACGTAAAAGTAATCTAATCAGTAAATTTCAAAAATTTCAGTAAAATATACTTAATTTAATTAGGGATATCATAGTACAGAGTATATAAATATAGTTGTATTCTAATTCGTTACCTCAAACGAACATAAAGTATTTATAAGATAAAAAGAAGCACTTGTTTTATAGGAATATCTCGCTAGCATGTGCAGCTTACTTGATTACTTTATTATAAACAGAATTAAATAATTTGAGTCCCGATGATGTTGCAACACCGCTGCGTGGTACACGAAAGCCTACAAAATAAAAAATCAAAGTGAGAAAAGAAATCATATAATATATATGTATATATATATATATAGGTCTAAGAGATTTACCAAACAAAGTCATAGTATAAATATATATATATCTACTTATGCATGAAATCATTACAAAAATACAAACATTCATTTTTGGGGGGGGGGGGGGGGTACCCTTCATCTAAACTTAACTGCACAGTATACGAGATTCGAATGACAATATTCCTTAAATTACTTATCAGGTAGGCTGTATAAGGATGGAAAGTAAAGGTCAAATCCGGGACAAAAAATACGTAATTACCAATTTAGGTGAATTGCATTTATATATAAATGTATTTATTAAAGTATGTAATTAACTAACAAGTATATAAAGTAAGTCTTATCTTTAAGACACCTTATTCTTAAAGATATTAATATATCAGGGTACCTTGTTCGTGAAAGCTATAGCAATAAGGTAATTGTAACAGCTTTAGACTAATAAATTAATTATCATTGTCAAAAAAAAGAAACACCAATTTTAAGTTATTTTGTTACCCATTGTTTCCCCTCCTAGATAGACTCCACGCCGTACATGTATTTTTCATCATATTTTGATCATCTTGGATTTATAGATTACATTTTAAATGACCTTGTTCGTGAAAGCTATAGCAATAAGGTAATCGTAACTGCTTTAGACTAACAAATTAATTATCATTGTCAAAAAAAAAAGAAACACCAATTTTTTAAGTTATTTTATTGTCCATTGTTTCCTCTCTTAGATATACTCCCCGCCGTACATGTATTTTTCATCATATTTTTTATCATCTTGGATTGATAGATTACATTTTAAATGAAATTTGTCTAGTGCCCAGATATATTAGGTATTGAATAATTTTTTGAAGCACTTTTGGACTTGTTTTGTTTTGACTATGCAGTATTGGTTTTTGTTCATTGTGGAAGGCCGTTTTGGTGACCATTAGTTGTTACATTCTATGTCATTTAGTTTTGTGGAGAGTTGTCTCATTGTCAATCATACCACATCTTCTTTTTTTTATATCTATATTGATTTATGATAATATCATATGATTTGCAATATAAAGTACAAATGTGGCCAATGTTAACTAATGCAGGCTTCGTTATCCAATCCATCCGAGATATCAAGATTACTTTTTTAAATGCCTGTTCAGTAATTTGAATAAAAAAAAAGCAATGTAAGCAATCTTAATTAAAGGAAACACAATTTTAGTTATTGTGTACCAATATTGCAGTGATTTGTTCTTATACAATCCATCCTGGATTACCTAAGTTACTCATTTATGATAACTGCATATATCTTAAATATAAAGTACAAACATGGCAAGTGTTGAAAGATGCAGGCCAAAAGTTTTGGTATAAAAACCCTTCTGAGATATCAAAACTACAGATTTATAATGCCAGTTCAGTATTTTGAATGAAAAGAAAAAAAAGATTGGCACTCTAAATTAAAGCCGACAAAAATTCTATACCAGTATTTATTATTAAGCAATTCATTTTGACTGACCAAATTTACTCGTTTTTGATTACAGCATAGAATCTTTCAAATAGTACATGTATGGCCAATGTTGCATGATGTTGGACAAAACATTTTTTCAAAAAAGCCTTCCTGAGATATCAAGACTTCTGATTTTAATTGCCAGTTCAATATTATAAATTAAAAGGAGAAATGTTGCTTTTATTTGTTAAAGCTGACAAAATGTTTTAGTTATGTTCACCAATATTCGTGTCATTTATTTTATTTGATCCATCTTGAGTTACTAAGTAAATTAACTGATTTTAAACTGCAAATATGGCAAATGTTAACCAATGTGGGCGAAAACGTTTGTCATACTAACCATTCTGAGTAATGAAGACTACAGATTCTTAATGCCTGTTCAGGATTTTTAATAAAAAGAAGAACTCTTAGAAATATTGATTCATGCTGACCAAACAATTTTCGTCGTTGAATATCAATATTACTGTCATTTATTTTAAAACAATTCATTGGGAGCTTCCAAATTTTCTTATTTGTGATAATGGGATATTCTTTGATAAAGAACTTTTCGTTTTGAATTTTCCTTGGAGTTCAGTATTTTTGTTATATTACTTGCTTTCAATATAAAGTACAAATATGACAAGCTTTGATAGATGATGGCACTAATTTTTGTTAAACAAACGATCCTTAGATATCAATAAACTACTTTTTAATGTCGGTTCATTGTTTTGAATCAAGAGGAGAAATATTGGCACTCAAAAGCAAACACAATTTTTAGTAATGGTATATTAATATTGATGTGGCCAAATTTACTTATTTATGATAATGGCTTACAATTTTCAATATAGAGTACACATATGGCCATTGTTGATTGATGCAGGCCAAAACCTTGTTACTTAAAAGAACACTTGCCAATAGAAAATATAAATTGTACAAAAATTAAAGACTTAGTAGGGCAGAGAACTGCTTGAATCCCTAGACTTCTTTATTATAGTAACAACAATTTAACAACAGACATGATATGTTTTATCAATTTTAATAGATATAAGAAGATGTGGTATGAGTGCCAATGAGACAACTCTCCATCCAAGTCAAAATTTATAAAAGTAAACCATTATAGGTCAAAGTACGGTCTTCAACACGGAGCTTTGGTTCACACCGAACAGCAAGCTATAAAGGGCTCCAAAAATTACTAGTGTAAAACCATTCAAACGGAAAAACAATATGTATTAGGTATCCTAAACACAGAAAATTAGAATTAAAAACCAATTGTTCAGAGAAGAGTTGAAGGTCTTTCCACCCTAACATTCGATGATAAAGGATTAGATTAAACAACGTTGTAAGAAGATGTCACTTCAGGTTCATATAATTGGTGACTTCAGACTGATTCTAAAAATATAAGGTTTCTAGGTATTTTTCATTAAATTTGTGTGATAATGACTACTTCCGGTTAAAATTATGTCACCTCCCGTTGACTTTTTTGAAGATTAATGTCTACCAACCTAATGCAAAAGACCTAATGGTTTTATAATGAACCAGTATGATTTTTTTAGCAAAGGTCAAAATCAAGAACGTCAAATTGACCTTTGATCTTTAGCTCAATTTCAAAGTCATAGGTCAGTGATCTCATATCGAAAAGCCCTAGGTCATTCACTGGTATGGTTGAGGAGTTTCACTGATTTCAAATATATAAAAGGAGAAAACTCATATAAAGGGTCACCAAAACACTTCGACTCAAATGCGTTGAACTTGCTCAATTTCGTAAACAATTATTTGGCAAAAGCATCTTATCCTTATCTGTTACGGTTTCTTTGTAATAAAGATAATAAGCAAAGTTCGAAATTAAGAACATGGCCTTGACCTTTGACCGTGACCTCAATTTCCTTTAAATGGACCAAGGACTTCATATCAAAAGACGTTAGGTGTCTAAGACTTATTATGTATGAATTTATCAACATATCTCCTGTGTTAAATTTGAAAAGGGAAATAACTCCCATAAGAAGTCATTGGATCACTTCTATGAAACTTCACCAAATCATTCTAAAGAGTATACCAACAATTTGGAAAAATATTTTTGTCGATATCATTTAAGGTTACAGAGAAATAAATATAACAAGAAAAAGGGGTCGCGGGGAGATAACTCCTATAAGAAAAAGTGTTTAGTCACGCAGGGTGAATGATGAAATCGTTATCACTGTACAATATCATGGGGCAAAAATCCTTTCGATATGTCAAGTTACAAAAAAACATCTCAGACTGCTAAAGAAATATGAAAAAAAAAATAATTAAAAACCAA